GGGGCCCAGCCGCTCTGCGGCATGTGGGATCTTCCCAGCCCGGGGCACGAACCTGCGTCCCCTGCATCGGCAGGCAGACTCTCAACCACTGCGCCACCAGGGAAGCCCATAACTAGTGTTTTCTACTTAGCAAGTACTCAATGGGTAAATACTGAACATATGAATGAAAACAAATGGTGAATTGAGTATACGACCAGAAGAAATCATACTGATTGACTTTATCAGATACCATCCTAAATTTCTCTAGACTCAAGTTACTCAAATCTACAAAGAAAGACAACGACACCTATGAATTCCCTATGTCACTTACTCTATATAATCTTGAGCTTCTCTACAATAGTCATGCATTCAGCAAATGTTTATTGAATGATTATTAGATGAATACAACTGTGCTTACTACAGTGAAGTGCTGTCTGAAAAAAAAAAAATAAGCCTCAGAAATAATTGTTTGAAATAGGTTTATAGACAAATCCCAAATGTCGAGTTCTAGCTTGTCTAAAAAACCCAGGTACTTCTCAGGAACAAACACAATTAAAAAGTCATAGCACTTAAGCCCAGAAATTAAAGATGGAATGAAATATCATCCTGACCCTTATGTGTCCACACGAAGTTGAAATGGCTATAATTAATCAAATTAAATTAATTAAAGACAAGTCATTTCAATTGGTGCTAATAATGCTAAAAATAACCACAGAGTTTTCTTGTTCTTTACCTGATTAAAATGGGCAGAGCATGGAGTATTCTACTTATTTCCGGGTGAATTCTTCACATTTTCCGACTTGTAAAACAGAAAGTAAGAATATTAATGCAGTTTGAAAAGAAACAGTAAAACTTCTAAAGAAATAGTAGACTGTTTCAAAGTGCACATCTTCACCATGTGACTGAATATTATCTGATGCAAAGTGACCCATGTCTCGGTAAACTGAAGGAATTACTAGGGCTCCCTGAGGGCCCTGCTGTAGAAAGTGACTCAGGCACAGAGGAGAGCAGGAAATAAAGCTCCATTAATCCTCACTACACAGATTTGGCCAAGAGCTGATTTGATAAAAAATCCAATCAACAGTGAAAAGATTTCTTTACTACTTCATGCCACTGTAATTGTTAAAGAAGGTTTTACTGAATCACTTTGCTGTACACCTGAAACTAACACAACACTGTAAATCAACTATACTCCAATAAAAAAAAAAAAGAATAGTCATCATGATCTGAAACTAAAAAAAAAAGGTTTCACACCTATGGGACGGTTTCCTGTGGGTACTCCGCTCCGTATATCATCCACCATAGGGGCTAAATCACAAAACATGTTTACTCTGGAAGAGGTTATAACCAGACGGCACCCATTCCGCCTGGCCACCATCTGGGAACATATAATTAGGTCACGTCATCAATGAGAAGTAAGGTAGGAAAGGTTCTAGTGGGAAAAGTTCACGTGCTAAATGTTTAAGGCCTTACTTGCTTTCCCAGATGTTTTTAAGACTTTTAATTCTGAAAACACATTAATAAGACCTGATGTACGTCAAGGATCTGAGCTCTCATGAGATGGCAATCTGAAAAACACTAGGCTGTAGTTGGGTGGGCAATAGGGCTGTGATTCTGTGGTCTAGACTTGGTGCAGGTTCTGCCAGTGGCCTTCTCTCAGAGTTATCCATGGGTGAAGGAGGGGGGAATGTGAGAAAGCAGGAACACATGCCTAACCCTGTAATTTCAGAGCATGGCTCCTAGGCAACTTCAGGCTTACTGAAGTGGTTGAGAACCTGTCTCTAAGCATAGTGATCATACATCTTGGCTTGCCCAAGTTATACATACTGGTTTATACTTATTGTCCCAGCATAATTAATAGTGCCCTGTTTCACTCTCAAGAGTAACCTGGTTTGGATGATAAATTATATGGTCACCCTATCTACAGACCACATTCACTTGATGATGCAGTTCTGGGGAAACAGGCCATACGTATTGCTTGGTGGATCATCATACAGTATCCAGGTCCACTTGCTGCTCTGAACAGAGCTCTACAGGACTCGGCGCCTATGCATTACGCTATTCCTTGAGAGCCACTTTCTCACACACACACACACACACACACACACACACACACACACACAACACACACACACCCCAGAGGCCTTCTTGCTGTTGCTCTTCCAACTTGCCAAGCTCTTTCCTGGGATAGGACCTTTGCAAAAAAAGTCCCTTGACCTAGACTGGTCAATCCCAATTTTGGTCTGGCTAAATGCTATTCATCCTTTAGATCAAGGCTTTCCCCTGTCCTCTGACCTTCGATTCAGATAAGAACCTTTTATTCACATTGATAGCATCCATGCACTTCCTGATTTGTGTAATTCTTTCATTCATGTTTGAATCCTTCACAAATATATATGTTTCATGAGGGCACAATACTCCTAGGACCTCCTAGCACACAGTATTCAAACATTTGTTGAATAAACAAATGAAATGAGGTAGAACCTAGAGACTTGATGAGTGTTTAAAAAAAAGTTTGGGTATGTAATTAATGAAGAAGAGATAAAAAGAGGCTTATGAAGGCAAGTGAGATAACTATGTCCAACAATTGGGTCTGTCATAAAAACCATGTGGTTCCCTACTTAGTTAATCAAAAATATAAGATAAGATATATTTTCTTAGAACAAGATAAGAATATAAGATGCTAAATTCATAAACTTTTTTTATCCTTTGGACATTAAGAAAATGAGCACATAAAAACATTCTTCTGGTTGAAGAAAACAACTGTTGCTAGGAAATTTTTCTTGTCTGATTACATATCACTTATAGTATAACAAAACATGACAGTCAAATATCTCACTAATGAAGTACTGAACCCATCCACCCTATTACAAATCAGATCTCTCTTGGCAGAACCCATCATCATCTCAGCAAAAACAACATTCTGACTTCAAAAGACAGTTTGTGACTTAGCACAAGCCAGAAATCAAATTTTTTTGCATTTTCAGACAGTTTTATTTAAAATATTTTACAATGCAACCATTCTCCTTATACCTAATTTCAATACATATTGGGTTCCATTGTTTTTTTAAAGCGATTGATACATTTTATTTAACCCAACACATCTAAAATACTATTATTTCAACATGTAATCAATATAACATCAATCAACATTAAAATTATGAGATAGTTTACAATCTTTTTACTTGTACCATGTCTTCTAAATTTGGTGTGAATTTGTGCTTACAGCATACCTCAGTTCAGATTAGCTACACTTCAGGTAATCAACATCTGGTGCCTGCCATATTGGGTTGCAAAGGGCTAGAGGAATAAGCTAAACAGCACTGCACTGTGATGGTTAATTTTATGTGTCAACTTGGCTAAGCTACAGTAGACATTTTATTTTCTTACCATTCCATGAACATGAATAATAATTTCTATTAGCAAAATTCAAACATTTGTTTTAATCAAAATATTTATTTCTAATTAGTATGCACTGCCATATGAAGGGGGATTTCCAGCCAAACCTTTGAGGTACAGCAATCCACTTGAAATGTCTGATCCCCTCACCAGTTGAATTATTTTGATCAATTACTTAACTCTTCCAAAATGCAGTTTCCTCGTTTATAACATGGAGATAATAATAGAATCTGCCTCACAGACTCTTCCTGAGCATACAGTTAGCACACAGGGCCAAGCTCACAGCAAGTGGTCAATAAAAATGACCTATCCCAAAAGAAACGAAATTGAGTTATCTGTAGTGACGTGGATGGACCTAGAGACTGTCATACAGAGTGAAGTAAGTCAGAAAGAGAAAAAATAAATACCGTATGCTAACACATATATATGGAATCTAAAAAAAAAAAAAAAAGGTTCTGATGAACCTAGGGTCAGGACAGGAATAAAGACACAGACATAGAGAATGGACTTGAGGACACGGGGAGGGGGATGGGTAAGCTGGGGTGAAGTGAGAGAGTGGCATGGACATATATACACTACCAAATGTAAAACAGATAGCTAGTGGGAAGCAGCTGCATAGCACAGGGAGATCAGCTCGGTGCTTGGTCACCACCTAGAGGAGTGGGATAGGGAGGGTGGGAGGGAGACACAAGAGGGAGGAGATATGGGGATATCTGTATATGTATAGCTGATTCACTTTGTTATAAAGCAGAAACTAACACACCATTGTAAAGCAATTATACTCCAATAAAGATGTTAAAAAAAAAACTACCTATCCTATGTGGTAGGTCACTTAACTTTTTTGATGAGGAAATAAAAGGTAAACATAAATGACCTGTTAAAGACCCCAGTGAAATTCCAGTTCACTGGATGTGGTAGGCAGAATAACAGCCCCCTCAAAGATGTTTGCACCCTAATCCTGGAACCTGTGACTGTGCTACCGTGCATGGCAAAGGAGAATTACCATGGCACTGGAGTTAAGGTTGCTAACCAGCTGACCTTACAATAGGGAGATTATCTTGGATTATCTGGGTGGGCCCAATCGAATCACATGGGTTCCTATACTCTAAGAGGATGGAAGACTGGGGTCAAAGAAATGGGACATGAAAAGGACTCATCTGCAGCAGCTGGCTCTGAAGACGAAGGAAGAGGGCTGGGAGTCAAGGAATGCTGCAGCCTCTAGAAGCTGGGAACTACCCTCAGCTGACAGCTAGCAAAGCAGACCTTGGTCCTAGAACTGCCAAGAAACTAAATTCTGTCAACAACCTCAAGGAGCAGGAAGCGGATTCTCCCCTGGAACCTCCAGAAAGGAAGGCAGCCCTGCTGACACCTTGATTTAGCACCAGACTCCTGACCTACAGAGTCTAAGATAATAAATTTGTATTACTTTCAGCCAGTAAATTTGTGGTCATTTGTTATGGCTGCAATAGGAAACTAAAACAGATAGGAGGACTTTTGACTAAGGAGTATAATAAGCCCTAGGGCTCCATTTTCCATCAGGAAATGTTACCTTCTCCTATGCAGATGTCACATGACATCTATCATGGTTACCATTTCTAAAGTCTGTCCATTTTCTCAGCTTCTCACATGGATAAACTCAATCCTTGAAACAGCCCCATGAGGTACTACCCCCATTTCCCAAGAGCACCAGAGCGATTTCCCAAGGTTTCAAGGCTTGTAAGAGGTGGGGGTGGGGTGGGAGTGGGGGAAGAGCCCGGTGCACCCACTCTGGAGTCCACTCTCTTGGCCACCAGGCCATGCTGCATCCTGCCTTGTCTACCTTTCCTCATACCAAAAGTGTATGCCTTTCGAAAAAGGAGACTTTTTTTTTTCAGGATTTCTTACTTTTTATTTTGTTAAGTAATGATGTTTAAAAAAAAAGAAAGGGACTTCCCTGGTGGCACAGTGGTTAGGAATCTGCCTGCCAATGCAGGAGACACGGGTTCAATCCCTGGTCCAGGAAGATCTCACATGCCACAGAGCAACTAAGCCCGTGCGTCACAACTACTGAGCCTGCGCTCCAGAGCCCACGAGCCACAAATACTGAGCCTGTGTGTCACAACTACTGAAGCCTGTGTGCCTAGAATCTGTGCTCCACAACAAGAGAAGCCACCGCAATGAGAAGCCCACGCACCACAACGAAGAGTAGCCCCTGCTCCCCACAACTAGAGGAAGCCTGGGCACAGCAATGAAGACCCAACACAGGCAAGAAAAGAAAAAATCATTGCCTAGTACCTTTATTTCTTAGAATTTTAAACAGCAAAAACTAGAAAGGGCACAAATTCAGAACAAATTTAGCTTTATGGAAAACCCACCACATTGTCCTTATTTTTATTTTATTGTGGTAAGAACACTTAACAT